GACGACGGACGAACTTCTTGGTGCTCTGAAGATAGGACGACTGGAGATGACATCGGAAACTGGGAGCGAAGGCCACGCAGGACGAATCCAGAAGTTGATGTTGACAACAAAGTTCCATCACCGCTGCCACCAATGTAGTAACTGGCCTTTCTCCACCTGCTCCCAGTCCCGTGCCATCTCCACACTTATTCCAAGGGACGACGATAACTACATTTAGAAGACTGTTTATTGACACGACGACGAAACACAACTAGACAAGACGAACTCAAGACGAAGACTGCTTTTCATACTACAGCAACACGCGCATGCGCCAACATGATGTACACACGACGTACACAAAATAACGTACTATATACGATATGGTAAATCTATCGATATGCGGTACATACGGTATGATACGGTAGAAAGTCCGTCTACTACATCTCTGTCATAAAAAAATCACGGTTCGCGTGAGACTGGGCTGGAGGCTGAGTTTCCGCACCCGTAATAACGCCACCGCCCTCAAGGATCAAGGCACAGATGCAGCTCCAATAAAGCCCGGCCCAGGGGCAATAAAGCCCGGCCCAGGGGCAATAAAGCCCGGCCCAGGGGTATAAAGATTGGAGAGAAAGGAATGTAAACCTAAGGGGATAGGTACCCCACTTTCTTTATTTCAAGCCGTTCATACTACCTAGTCACCCAGTTCAGTGGAGTGACTAGGAAGAGCGAGTGTGTACTACAACATCATATTATTATACAATGTGTAATTAGTTGTATTCGGATTCTGAGATACTACCGCCACTGCTTAGTGTTGGTATTTCCAGGCATCCACGAACTCTTATGGATCCATGGCCTCTTATCGCTCTATGACCTCTTATGGGTCAATGACGGCGAGTGGGAGTGAATTTTCAGCTTCTCCGCCACTCACACTCGCGAAATCCCATGGTGGATGGTCATCTTTTCCGGTTCAGTGAACGTCAGTCGATTGAAATTGCAAAAATCCTATGTTAAGTATGATAGTTTTTGTACACCCTCGGAAGGCCTTGGACCTCAGTTACGTGTATAGCGCCATTTTAGCTGTCTTCTAGCAACAAAACGCACAAACAAATGCAGGCCAAACAAGACGATACTACGCTACTCGTATAGTATCGGTTCTCTTATAACATTGGTAGACGGGTGAAGGGCTAGCAGTGTTCCAAAATAATTCTGTGTTTGTTGTAGTGTAGTGACTAAGGATATTTTGAGACTAGCCATCCTGGCCAACACTACCGAAACCAGTGTAGCGCTAGTCCTCATACCGCTATGTCTCCTTCTTTCCTCTGTCCATGCAGGCAATGGCATTGGGGATGCATGCAGAAATGACTATGATGGTGATGGGGTCAACAACGCGCAGGATGCCTGTCCCTTTATGCGTACAGTTCAGAGTGGGAACATGTCCGTGTTGCTGAACATCTCCATTCCAGTGGAAAGCATGGCGGACGTAAAGTGGCACGTCACTCCCCAGGTATGTGCGAGTAGGGACCCATGCATCGTTCCCGGCGTACAGGATACCATGCACCATGGAACTTATGTACACCCATCACAGGAGACAGGAGACGCATGCACATCTGCAGGTGCACTGAACACGACAGAGGGGCAGATTCTACATCAGGGATGCAACTGGGCAGTCTGTCATCATGAGCTTGGTATTCATGGCGGTGAGTCTGTGAGTCACTTTGTGTGGACAGGAGTAGTACATGTCGTAGTCACAGTGTGCTCACTGACTTACAGCGCTGGTAACTGAAATCCGACCCCAACTCAGTGCGCTGACATTGCAAACACCCAGCACACACTTGTAACACTACGAAATAGAGACCGCTAGAATCGGTGCTGCGCTCAAACACGAAAAATCAGGGGTCAGATTTCAGTTGCCTGCACTATAGATACCGTTACCATGTAGAATGACACTGCTGAGAGTCAGAAGATCACTATATACTCACAGCCGCACACTGAGCTAGATGCCATCTAGTGCATGAAAACCAGAGTGTGCAGCTCGGACGGGTTGCTGTCACGGCGGAATTCCGTGATTACATCATTTTAGTGATGTAGTGCGTACAAAGCAGGATTCAAGCAGGTCTCTTTCTGCACAACTGCAGCTCAGTTGTACGCACTACGCCATTTCCCGCCTCAGATCTGCGCCAAATATGATGTAATCACGGAATTCCGCCATGACAGACACCCATAGTAGAAAAGGCCCCAAGCTGCACACTCTGGTTTTCATGTACTCTTGTTACCATACAGGATGACATTGCTCAGAGTACAGCACGATGATCACTATCTACTTACAGCTACACACTGTGCGCGCGTGCGTGTGTGTGTGTTTGTGTGTGTGTGTGTGTGTGTGTGTGTGTGTGTGTTTCCGCTTTCTTGCCGCTGTTCCCCAGGGTTCAACGGTGACTCTTACATCACAGAGTTCTGCACCGATCATCTTGCTTGGTAAGAGATTGGATGGGTATGCATGATGGCAAAGGTAACCATAGTAATCTATGCCTATACCGGCTTACACAGTGCTCAGTGTGCAGTATGCAGTGTGCAGTGTGCAGTGCGCAGTGTGCAGTGTACAGTGTGCAGTGTGCAGTGTGCAGTGCGCAGTGTGCAGTGCGCAGTGCAGTGCGCAGTGTCCAGTGCGCAGTGCGCAGTGCGCAGTGCGCAGTGTATGCAGTGTATGCAGTGTGCAGTGTGCAGTGTATGCAGAGTGTACGTAGAACAGTAAGTTGTTATGCTGCAGTCACACATCACATGTACAGTTTCAGCTGGATCAGCTGGTATGATGATGACAGCATCATGATCACATTATCACAAGGAGGATAACACACTGCACTGAACATAGTGTTCCTGACTGCAACCAGAGATACATTTCCCTGCTGTAGACCTGCAGCAGTAAATAGAGTACTGATCCATAGTTGTGCAGAGCCATGCAAAGTGCCAAGGACAACTCTAGATAGCGGTTATGTTCTACATAAGACGTCTTAGTACTAGGAGACAGTCACCACCGGCTGTTGCGTGCTGCAAGTTAGCATGAACAGGACATGCTTGTGTTTCTATTCCACTTTGTGTTTGCTCAGCGCCGCCACGTCTTGGCTCTGTGGATTTCTCCGGAACGGTGCACGTCCAGAACTCGGAGGAGAATGACTTCTTTGGGTTCGTCTTTTCCTTCCAAAGCACGTCACGTTTCTATCTCCTTCAGTGGAAGAGAACGGCCGAGAGCTTCCTAGATCTACCCAGTGCTATATCCAAGCCCTACTGGCAACTCCTGGTAGGTTTTCTCCTTTCAAAATTCACTTCTGTTTTCCATGACTAACAGATCGCTGAAGAAATGAACCGAAACCCACCGTGCTTTTTAGTAGTAGTAGTAGTAGTAGTAGGGGTGTCATCGGTTAGTAGGGTACCCGTGCTGCTCGTAATTCGAGCGGGTATTCGGGTAGCAGTTTGCTCCTGAGAACGCGATCGGGTAGTTTGAGTGCGGTGTTTTCGCAACGGTGCAATGTAAACAGCATGGGCACGTGCTTACTAGACACTTTCTGTGTAGAGCAAGTCACACTCACTTTACAAACTATGTCAATAATTCCCGATAGGGTACCCATGCTACCCGGATAGAAATACTCGAACTCGTTACCCGACCAAACCCCTACCCGTTGCCGCCCTACTTTTTAGTGAATTCCAAGTCGATGCGATGTACACATACGTAAGATATCGTTGTGACTGGCATTGTTATGATCATCCTTGTGCTAGTGGTGTTCTCGCAGATGTGGATCTGACTGACTCTAATGTGACTTGTTGTATTGTTGAGAAGAGAAAGTGGAGTGACTGAGTGATTGATTTTACTGTACTGATGTTATGCTATTTGTGCTAAGATGTGCACACATCATGGTTGGTAGCCTAGAGTGGGCGTAGCTGACTAATTTATGGGTTTCTTCATGCGCTGTATTCATATCTGTGCAGAAAAGTCCATCCACCGAGCTGGAGACATGGTTAGGAAACAGCTCGGTAAGACACACAAGACGTGTGTTGCTACCTGTGTGTATGTGCGTGTGTTTTGCGTGCAGGCATGCGTGTCGATCGCACTGTATATTTGTGTATGCAGTCAACAATGATCAGGATGATATGCATAGTGTATGGTGAAACTTCAGCATAACAAACACAGCACTGGATGCTGTAACATACTGTGGGATACAGAGTACTGTTCTTGAGCCCCCCCCCCCCCCCCCCGCATTCTACTCGATCAGTCAGTTGACCATGGATCAGGGGCGTACATAGGGCGGTTCCCGGGATGCCTGGGAACCAGTAAAATTTTTTTGATGTGGGTAGATCTACGGAGAATGTTTAGATCCAGGCCCACCGTGCAGTGCATGCATACTTAGGCGCTAGGCGCCTGCAGTCCGCCTGGCGGTCCGAGGATGCTCGTATCGCCCAGGTACGAGGTGTGAAAGTGCTGCTGGGGCATTTTTGTGACACAGCGTAGATCTACTGAACTAACGTTACTTAGGGGCCGTCCGTAAATATCGATGTTTTTTTAGAGACGATATTGGTGCGTCTGGGGGGGGAGGGGGTTTGAGCCATGTGCGTCTTTTCGAGCATCAGAAAAATATCGATGTAAATATCTGAAGTTTCGCCGATCCCTGCACGCGGACGTCTAAATGGCTATACAAGAAATGTGAAACCAGCTTCCGTTCGCGGAGCTAAAACTCGCGACACAAGAACAAAATCAAAATTTGGAAGCTGTACGCCCATGGCGAATTTCAAGAGCAAAAGAATGAGCTATTGATTGTGAAAATCGGCCGAACGATGCCTGCAGGAGACCTTTTTCAAGACGTAGAGGCAGTGCGAACAAACACGGACTAACTCCACAAGAGTTTCCAGTCTTCACTGTCTGAACAAGGATTTGAAAAAATGAGCATCCAAAAATATTGATTCCATGATCTAGATGTACATGTGCGTCTTCTGGGGGGAGGGGGGGGGTCAAGGGAGAGAAGCACCAATATCGTCTCTAAAAAAACATCGATATTTACGGACGGCCCCTTACTGGGTACAACAAAGTCTCTACATACGAGTTACATCGATTCCTCGATCTCAGAGTCATTTCCTTGTCAATTTGTTTTGACAAAGTTGGTTACGTTTTTGACGATGCTTTCGCTTTGTGAAAAAGAAAAATGAAGCGTCGGCATCCAGAGGGCCAGCGCTCTATTCAGAGCTATTTAGAGCAGGAGGCAAAGCGTGTAGCCAGTGACGAAGGTCAAGCGATACTAGTAGATGAGATTGCGGACGCACCTGACTTCCAAATGGAGTCTGCAACGAGCAGCACAGAGTACGGAATCGTCGGCGAAGCTGTAGAGCGACCGTTGTTGGAAGCAGCTGGATCATCCAAGACTTACTTCAGTGACATTGGAGTGTGTTGAAAAGGATATTCTGAAAGTGTACTTCCACTGTGTAATCCCTGATTCCGCCGAAATATGCTGGACATGGAAAAAATTTCCGTCATCGATAATCATTGTGCACCAACGAAGGCGAAGGATTTCGTTTCCTGTGCGTGCCCAGACGGATGGCAAACAGCGCTTTCAACTATCCTGGTTGGAGGAGTTTCCCTGGGTAGTCTTTTGACCGGCATGCCATGGTGGCTTCTGCTTGCCCCTGTGTGATGTTTGCTCCAGATGATTCGAAGCTTGGGCAGCTTTACCGCAGTCCTCTCGAGAATATAACCCGACTCAAGACTGCATGCAATCGTCCTGCTGAACAAAACATCTATAATAAACATGCCTTGGCAAAGTTGAGTCCTTTTTAAATCATAGCAGTGACATTATCCAGCAGTTCATGCAGAAACTCCGTCTGATACGTATAAGAGCACTAGCGTGTGGAATGTTGGTTGATCAGGTGGCATGGGAACCACTCCTGGAGGCGAGCGGTGTACGCCCCTGTGGATAACGAGTACCTTTGCTATAAAGTATAAACTACAGATTTTGACGTCCCTTAGAGGTATGAAGTTGGTTGTTCCAATGAGGCACACACGCTTCCTGCCAAACTTGACACTTGACAGACTCACGACCTGCAAGAAAGCACCACTCCCTGTTCAATACACAGTGTTTCGGGAAATTCACCCCTCATCAGTTGAGCTTGAGTAGGCTAAGGAAGATTGTGCCTGAAAAGCACCACTTATGTGGAACAACCAACTTCATTACTAATACCGCCGAAGTCCCAACTTCTAAGTTCCTTGAGGTATGCTATACTGAACTGGTTCACTATAGATTTGCTATACATACTTACCTTGGCTTATTCCCTGTTCAGATCTATGAAGATAAGACAGGATATGGCTGGCTACCGCATGTCACCTACAGCTGGGTTATTCAACACCGACCAGACCGCGGGCACATCCGGTACGTTACACAAATTGATAGACCACACGGCCTCGTAATGTTGCTCTGTGACATGTGGCTTATTTTGTAGACAACCAGGGATGCCTCCACTCTCTCTCTCTCTCTCTGCAAGCTACCCGATGTCTAACCTCTACCCACTGGTACCACTATGGCCTACAAACTCGATCTTTGAAATGTGGAGCTACGATGGGTGCATCAGCTTCTTTATCTTCCATTTACAAAGGTGTGATTCATTCCCCATGTTGAGACATGTTGAGACATGTTGAGCTATCTCGTACATTCAACACTATGGAGCTCACTATGCTCGCTATACAATGAGGTACTGTAAATATACAAATTTTCGGCAGCTATTTAATTTCGGCTATATTCGGCACCGACCCAAAACGCCTAAATTAAAACGCCGATGAAATTTTTCACAGCATCTGTCGCACTATACCATGCCCTCTACCCCACGCCGAAAATAAATCGCCGCCGAAATGTCAAAAATCGTGAAGTGCCGAAATTTTGCAGCGCCGAAATTTTGTATATTTACAGTGTCAACTTACATTGTGTGTGTGTGTGTGTGTGTGTGTGTGTGTGTGTGTGTGTGTGTGTGTGTGTGTGTGTGTGTGTGTGTGTGTGTGTGTGTGTGTGTGTGTGTGTGTGTGTGTGTGTGTGTGTGTGTGTGTGTGTGTGTGTGTGTGTGTGTGTGTGTGTGTGTGTGTGTGTGTGTGTGTGTGTGTGTGTGTGTGTGTGTGTGTGTGTGTGTGTGTGTGTGTGTGTGTGTGTGTGTGTGTGTGTGTGTGTGTGTGTGTGTGTGTGTGTGTGTGTGTGTGTGTGTGTGTGTGTGTGTGTGTGTGTGTGTGTGTGTGTGTGTGTGTGTGTGTGTGTGTGTGTGTGTGTGTGTGTGTGTGTGTGTGTGTGTGTGTGTGTGTGTGTGTGTGTGTGTGTGTGTGTGTGTGTGTGTGTGTGTGTGTGTGTGTGTGTGTGTGTGTGTGTGTGTGTGTGTGTGTGTGTGTGTGTGTGTGTGTGTGTGTGTGTGTGTGTGTGTGTGTGTGTGTGTGTGTGTGTGTGTGTGTGTGTGTGTGTGTGTGTGTGTGTGTGTGTGTGTGTGTGTGTGTGTGTGTGTGTGTGTGTGTGTGTGTGTGTGTGTGTGTGTGTGTGTGTGTGTGTGTGTGTGTGTGTGTGTGTGTGTGTGTGTGTGTGTGTGTGTGTGTGTGTGTGTGTGTGTGTGTGTGTGTGTGTGTGTGTGTGTGTGTGTGTGTGTGTGTGTGTGTGTGTGTGTGTGTGTGTGTGTGTGTGTGTGTGTGTGTGTGTGTGTGTGTGTGTGTGTGTGTGTGTGTGTGTGTGTGTGTGTGTGTGTGTGTGTGTGTGTGTGTGTGTGTGTGTGTGTGTGTGTGTGTGTGTGTGTGTGTGTGTGTGTGTGTGTGTGTGTGTGTGTGTGTGTGTGTGTGTGTGTGTGTGTGTGTGTGTGTGTGTGTGTGTGTGTGTGTGTGTGTGTGTGTGTGTGTGTGTGTGTGTGTGTGTGTGTGTGTGTGTGTGTGTGTGTGTGTGTGTGTGTGTGTGTGTGTGTGTGTGTGTGTGTGTGTGTGTGTGTGTGTGTGTGTGTGTGTGTGTGTGTGTGTGTGTGTGTGTGTGTGTGTGTGTGTGTGTGTGTGTGTGTGTGTGTGTGTGTGTGTGTGTGTGTGTGTGTGTGTGTGTGTGTGTGTGTGTGTGTGTGTGTGTGTGTGTGTGTGTGTGTGTGTGTGTGTGTGTGTGTGTGTGTGTGTGTGTGTGTGTGTGTGTGTGTGTGTGTGTGTGTGTGTGTGTGTGTGTGTGTGTGTGTGTGTGTGTGTGTGTGTGTGTGTGTGTGTGTGTGTGTGTGTGTGTGTGTGTGTGTGTGTGTGTGTGTGCTTGTGTGCACGCATGTTTGCGTGAATGTGTGTGTGTGTGTACAGGATTGTGGTTCGCAATGCATCACATTTGATACTGGACAGCGGCAGCATCAGCGACGGTGACTACAGGGGAGGGCGACTGGGATTGTTTTCGTTTTGGCAAGCGGATACCACTTGGAGCAACCTCTCAGTTTCTTGTGCAGAAAAGTGAGTCCTAGACCCGATAGTTATGGTGCTGGTCTTCATGGTTTTCATTTGTGCCTTGACTTGATTCAGCTTTGTTATTGAATACATCCAGATTTTGATTTTCCAGTTTTGATTTTCCAGATTTTGTCACATGTTATGACGCTGCGGCATGGCATGATCATACACATACGTGTACTGTTATTAGGACTAGTCCAATGGGTATAAAATTGCGGTTGGCCACTATATCATTTCTCTCGACTTTAAAATAGAAGTTACTTTAAGGTTTGGTTTTCCACAATTCTTATTCTAGTGGTTCAAGATGCAGATTGTTGAATCAGTTTTCTCTTTGCTGTATTGCAGGTTCAACTATGCACTTCATTTTGACGGTGTGGATGATTTTGTCCATTTACCCAGTGCCACAGCATTGGCATTGTCACAAAGGTATGTTGTAACTTCACCTAAACCCTCGGTCAGTATGTAGCTAAACCCTCGGTCAGTGTGTAGCTAAACCCTCAGTCAGTATGTAGCTCATTTCTTCATGCCAGTGTTTTCACTGTGTGTGTGTGTGGGGTGGGGGGGGGGGGGGTGGGGCTTTGGGTGCTGAAGGATTTTCACCGAAGTCCAAGCTGGAAAGCGGTTGTTGACACCTAAATCTGTCTAGTTTAGTTATCACGTTCTGGTTTCTTGACGACTCTTGACTCTTGACAACTCTTCCCATCGTTGGCTGCTCTGTTCTGCAGCTTTACAATTGAGCTATGGTTACGCCCGGTTGGACGCAAGTATGATGCACCTCTTCCCATTGTCTCCTCTCCTGATGGTAGCCTTACCATCACTATGAGCCTAGCCGGGTAAGTTATGAGCTGGATTTCCTGTGTTAGTATACTGTGTTATCTCATTGCTTCCACTCGATATCACCGTGGCTAGGAAACTCAGAGTTACAACAGATCAAACTTTCCGGCCATAGTGAACTTGTGTCGCAGACTCTTTTTCGTGGGTTGAGTGCTCTTGCAAGACGACAACTTTTCTTTGTGCAATACTTTGCTACATGTTTCTAACGTTGATTGCTGCATGTGGGGGACGTTCCTGCATACTGCAGTGGAATACCGTTATGATAGGATAGTCAATGTCTTAGTGTTGCGTGATCTGAGCTTGTGCTGTTTGCACTTTGTTCTGCAGTGTGATAACAGCAACACTAGGGAACGCTACCATACAGTCGACAGCGGCGGTGCCCTTTGGCCAGTGGTCACATTGTGCGCTCGCAAACAGTATCAATGGTATGTTCAAATTGTTCATCATTTTACTAAAAACGATCGCAGAGCTGGTCTCGTACATCTGAGATGCCTAATTTCTGTTCGCAGAGAGTGGCTGGGCTATCCACACCTATAGAGAAGGTTGTGCGGTTGCATTTGAAATATTCCAGTTTGGATCTACGCGATCGTGCACATGGTGCGCAGTGCATGCTCAGTCAGGCACCAAAGGGTTAGAGTTCACCTTTCTGACTCCATACTTGGAATATCTGACGATTAGCACTTGGCTTTATTCCGTTGCAGTGTTTCAATGCATTGCTCTGGCCGTAAATGGCGTTGTGATGTTTTAAATTGTTCTGTGCCTGGTGTAAAAGGTGGTGCCTTGTCACTAACTATCAATTTCGCCTCGACAGTAACTGTGACAGCAGCCACAGCTTTCAAGGTGAGTTTGATTCAGCCATGGGGCATGAATACATCCAATCTCTCTAGCTGCCGGAACACTACATACAGCCTTCTGCTATTGGCTTGTAAGTTATACCGTATGCCACATCCACTGTAAACACACACAGCACACAGCACCATCAACTCTTGTCCTGGTGGATGTGTGTATTCTCGGTATCTGGCCAGTCTTACACATGGGCATTACTGTTCATTTGTTGACACACATCAACATGTTTTGATTGTGAACACAGAACATGTATTATACTGCTCTGTTCACACTGCAGGGTTCTGATCGCCTGTACCTGGGTAGAGACGTGGCTGCCAATGTTTTCCATGGAGAAATGGAGGAGGTCAGTACACATTGCATTCAATTCTCCAGTCACACCCCGTGATGATCTAGTTTGTAAGGAGACGGCACCGTATTTTTTCACAAATTAATTTCTGCTGTTGTAACACGGAAAGTATTCCCATATTTTTAGTCAACCGAGCATGCTCATTATTATGTGGAAGCTGTAAGCAATTGAATCATTTGAATGAAGTCATTCCACCCCTATAATATTCATCTCTATACTGAGGTCCTAACAATGAGCAAGCTGACCATGTCCGCCTTTCTTGCCTATTTGACCTGTTGCCACTGCAGGTGAGATTCTGGGGAGACGCCAAGAGCAGTGCTGATCTACAGCCGTACAGACTGAAAGGCAGTTTGGAAGGACTGTCCGGCCTGTCCACACTGCGTGCTCAGTACACGTTTGATGGTGAGACAGGTCCCATTGTGAAGGACTCCAGTGATAACACCCTCCATGCCTTAGCGTACGGGAGTACAAGCAGATATGCGGTGAGTGGTGTTATTGTAGTATCCCTGCCTTACTAGTACTGAACTGTAGCTGTCTACTACTGTAGCGTATATTTAGCGTATCCCCGTACGTTAACGTATGGAGTCTGTCGCCCTATAAAAGCTGCTGCGCTTCACTGATTTCTACACAACAACTGATTTCTGATTTCTAAAACTGCAACAACAACAGAGCCGAGCAGAAGAGCTGTTCTGACCTCCAGGTGTGCACCGGAGAAAGTTCCTTTATTGCCGCTTCTCTTTCTTGCCTTTTTACATGTAATCCAGGTGTGTACCTGAGACAGTTCGATTAAATTTAATTTGTGTTGATTGTCGTTCCTCCACTCGGCTACCCACTACATTATGAACCTTAAACCCTCCCTAGTTCAAAGAAGCAATACTTATGCACTTGATCATTGTGCCCACTGCCCAGAGTATACATGATATGCGTCGTCGACAAGAAGCAGTTGCATCAGTACGCTGTGTTGGTCAACCCAATACAATACGTCATGGCCATGGACTGTTGTTCGCTGAGCCATGCTGTTCTAATATTGGTATTACAGTCAAACCTCTTTAGGACGAACACCAAGGGACTGACGGGATTTGTTCACAATAACGGGAGTTCTTCTTTTCCATATCTTATACCCAGTGAATACACAGTGATTTATCCAATAGAGTTACAAATACTAGTTCTTCTTAAGCGAAAGTTTGTTTTATCAGTGTTCTTCTTAACGAGGTTTCACTGTGTACTGTTCGGATGTTAGCATGTTTGGATATGTCATGCTGCTGTTCTATGACTCTATGTGTGTGCATGCATGCACATGTGTGTACATGTGTGTGTATGTGTGTGTGTGTGTGTGTGTGTGTTTGTGTGTGTGTGCGTGTGTGCATGTGCATGTGCGTGTGTGTGTTATTGGATACAGAGCTACCTTGATGTAACAGCTGCGCTGCCCACTGCTGACCGAGATGCCCGCAAGCGACGCAACGTTCAAATCGACCCATCTACAGCTACGGACTCCGCAAGACCTGACTCCGATCTGCATGATGAATTTGAACAACTCGAAGAAGAACTTGAAACTCACATTGAGCTATAAATGAATTTGTTGAGACCTCTCCCCTAAATTGTAATGCACTCTCTCATGTCTTTGGTTGTAGGATTGTGTTTAATTTCTATATACCCTGGTACGGTACTCCTCGAATTGCCTTGATTTACCCATACCAACACCAGACCTTCCTTTGCCGCGTGAAGGTGAGAGTTTTAATTTATTTTCCAAAGCAATGATCAGTGATGTTTTCTACCCTAATTGCAATGGTGAAAAGATAACAAAGGGATTTAGTGGGCTAGAACTCATTGGTAAGAAGAATGTCTGGTAAAAGTATAGCTATGTAAGCAGGAAAGGGAACATGCTGAGTGTGAACAAAAACATTCTAGTGGACAAGAAATGCAAAAGTAAGCTAAGCTAGGGTTGGAACGTCACAGCATGAATCTTTCATTGCCACGCGGGGCCTGTCACTCCCGACTACTCCAGGATATGGCAACTTCCCTGATTGACGTTGGTCTGTGTAGTAGTGGCACTGGGTGCTGCGGGTGAGTACCGTGTAGTGCCCACGTCAACATCACGTAGACATCCATTGAATGCTGTGTATGTACCGGCATCTACGCAACACACACATTGGAGCACAGGAAGACAGGAACATATATATAGTATATACATACTATTCTAGCCGTTAGCCCCATCCCTCACACAAACAAGTCAACAAAGAGGCATCTTTGGATTGAGGAGTGCTGGTTTCGAAACAACTGGTTTGAAGCTCAAAGTAGAGCTGGTGTTAGCTCAGAGCAGAGCTGGTGTTAGCTCAAAGTAGAGCTGCTGTTAGCTCAAAGTAGAGCTGCGGTTAGCTCAAAGTAGAGCTGCTGTTAGCTCAAAGTAGAGCTGCGATTAGCTCAAAGTAGAGCTGCTGTTAGCTCAAAGTAGAGCTGCTGTTAGCTCAAAGTAGAGCTGCTGTTAGCTCAAAGTAGAGCTGCTGTTAGCTCAAAGTAGAGCTGCTGTTAGCTCAAGGTAGAGCTGCTGTTAGCTCAAAGTAGAGCTGCTGTTAGCTCAAAGTAGAGCTGCGGTTAGCTCAAAGTAGAGCTGCTGTTAGCTCAAAGTAGAGCTGCTGTTAGCTCAAAGTAGAGCTGCGGTTAGCTCAAAGTAGAGCTGCTGTTAGCTCAAAGTAGAGCTGCTGTTAGCTCAAAGTAGAGCTGCTGTTAGCTCAACGTAGAGCTGCAATGCTAAATGGATGTAATATAGCGCAAGGCAGAGCCGCAGCAAATAGCTAGATAACACCAGTTGTGAGAGTGGACCCGGTTAGTGGGTACGATAATATTATGATGGTGTGAATAAGTTGGATAGGGAGGGATGGTGGGAAAAGAAACACTGCTGAAGCACGATCCGTTGTCTGGAAGAGCACAACAGGGCAAGCAAGATTTGTTTTTCTTTTCCGCAAAAATGGGCTGGTGCCATTTGTGATTACGCAGCAAAACAAAGCGCATGACGTCAGTCTTGAATGCAGTACAAAGCAATGCAGTGCAGTGTGTGCGCTAGTTCGGATTGTTGCTAACAAGTACTAGCACAGCTACAGTCCGTTTCAAAAAGATTTACAATCCTGGCGATCGCCCGCGGAGTTTGGCGTCTTACCGTATGAGCACTCGAGCGCTGCCTGGAAAAACTCACTGTGAACTCGAAGAAATATTCCGCGCGAAAGCAGGAAAAATGACAACTCACTCACGTTGACACAGTCATGTACGTCTGGTTTACAACAAACGAGTTCTTCCTCGTATCGACAATGGAGTCAGAGAGGACATGTCGAAACGAAAGTGTTGTAAATGTTGACGAGCTGCATGGGTCCGTTTTGTGACCAAAATAGTTTCTTTGAGCTGCGATGCAATTTACTCACCGTGTGACGAAAACGACATCGACACGGACTCATTCCCAAGGCCATGACTTGGCAAAGCTATCCGTGTGACTTCGACGACATTTTGAGAAAAGCAGACGCTTGTGAACGCTGATAGAAGACGGCGTTGACTGCTAAATTCAAATAAATTGGCGATCTTGAAATACTAAAAATATATCTCAAAAAGCTACTGCGCGATGACTTCCATTATAATTCACTCACACCATTGCAGTGTTGTGGGTGTGTTCACATGGCGTGAGCCAGTCAAGTGTCAGTCAGTTCGGCAGGAAGCGCGAGCTCCAACAACAAGTCGTTTGGTGAAGCCATCTTCTTTGTCTTGTACCAGCTTGATCACCAAAACAATGAAAAAAAAAAGTTTGACTTGAGGATAGGTTGGGATTTGAACTCACAACTTCATGGTCAGCAGACAGCATTCATAACCACAAGGCCAAAAAGGAAAGGATAAATCGTGGGTTTTGATAAAAAATCGATACTGGCTTCCTGGGCAAATTGTAAACCATGGGAAAAGGCCGGAAACCTGGCCGAAATTCTAACTCCTTAACGGTTGGTCCAATTGTTCTGAAACCTTCACAGAACAATTTGCCGTGTCCTAACAAGCCATTCTATGTACTTTGTTGTCCAAATTTCCCTTATCTTCATACTTTTTAAGACCCAAACCTGATTGTAAATCTTTTTGAAACAGACTATAGTACACCATTAGCCCCATCCCTCACACAAACAAGTCAACAAAGAGGCATCTTTGGATTGAGGAGTGCTGGTTTCGAAACAACTGGTTTGAAGCTCAAAGTAGAGCTGGTGTTAGCTCAGAGCAGAGCTGGTGTTAGCTCAAAGTAGAGCTGCTGTTAGCTCAAAGTAGAGCTGCGGTTAGCTCAAAGTAGAGCTGCTGTTAGCTCAAAGTAGAGCTGCGATTAGCTCAAAGTAGAGCTGCTGTTAGCTCAAAGTAGAGCTGCTGTTAGCTCAAAGTAGAGCTGCTGTTAGCTCAAAGTAGAGCTGCTGTTAGCTCAAAGTAGAGCTGCTGTTAGCTCAAGGTAGAGCTGCTGTTAGCTCAAAGTAGAGCTGCTGTTAGCTCAAAGTAGAGCTGCGGTTAGCTCAAAGTAGAGCTGCTGTTAGCTCAAAGTAGAGCTGCTGTTAGCTCAAAGTAGAGCTGCGGTTAGCTCAAAGTAGAGCTGCTGTTAGCTCAAAGTAGAGCTGCTGTTAGCTCAAAGTAGAGCTGCTGTTAGCTCAACGTAGAGCTGCAATGCTAAATGGATGTAATATAGCGCAAGGCAGAGCCGCAGCAAATAGCTAGATAACACCAGTTGTGAGAGTGGACCCATGAAACCAGCACTCCGTTAGCTAAGCACTATTGACGCACCGCAAGGGTCAATTAATGTCAGCACAGGCAAGCATTGCGCAGCTAGAGTTCAGTAGCTCATTACTCACCCGAGTTGGGGATCATGGCATCCATGGCACGGCAGCAAGCCGGGATGATAGCTGGCGGTATGCGCTTGTTGTAGTCTGGATGTAGCGTAGACACGCATCGCTCTTTCCACTGACCTGCCACTCGGAAGAAGGAGTCGGGGGCACTAGCCATAGCAGCAGTGGTGGCTGCACCAATGTGGACCGAATGCCCGGAGTAGTTCGACTGGGATGGTACACCGGCCGCAGAGACAAGAGACCATACTGTTACTGTGAATGACTGCCTGGTCAGCTGCTGTCTGTTCGAGAGTACGAACAAGAGTTGCTCCGGTCCCTCGCGACGAGTGACAGATGGGTAGCTAACAATGGCACGGACCGGGCAGTACGGCGGTACAGACGGGCCAATGTCACTAGTAACGCCTTTACCGAATGGGTCCGTCTTGGATGAAAGCAGGAAGAGTTGCAGGCGTCCGTCACCACGGGAGCTAGTACAGCCCCGTGTGATGCCATTAGTGAATTCAGCGCACCGAAGAAATCCAAAGAAGCAGCATGACGGCTTGGCAGAGCAGCTTGTCATGGCCATTCAGGATACTACTTTTCCGGCGTGCATCCGTCAGGTGTCGTAGGATTGGCATAGTTATAGGAAGGCGAGGGGTGAGTGCAGCCGTACCATGGCATCGTTGGATGCCCTTCAACACCCTCTTCAGAAGCCACGCATCTACTAAGGGGCCAGCAAACCCATTCTCAAGGTGGGCTTTATGCACCGCACTCGCATACACAGATACAGTTCAGGGCACGCTGATCATAGTTCACGCATGAATGTGTGTCCAGGAACGATGACTCGGGCAGCAAAAGTGAGCTTCCCCAGGAGGGACTCGAGTTGACGCTGGCCGATGCTGCGCTCGCTGATAGTAGCCATGAGTGGCGCACGGATCTCGGATAGCTTGTCCTCTGGTAGCCGAGCTTCGTGGCGCTCGCAGTCTAGGACAATACCAAGGAAGGTCAATGATGGTGATGGCCCTTCGAGCTGGGATGGAGCAAAGAGTGCCGAGATATGTGAACGCCCGGAGGGGGATGGTGAGTTGCTGGTTGGCTGCAGCCAAACCAGTGGAGATATCGAGAAAGTCATCGAGGTAGTGAAGCCGGTGATCTATAGCAAACTCGTGCTGCATGATCCAGTTGACTGCTGTGGCTACTGAGTCAAAGACGGCTGGGCTGGAGCGGAGGCCGAAAGGCAGAAAGCGCTCGTAGTAGTAGGAGCCTTCCCAGCGAAGTCCTGACGGCGGACTGGGATCTGCCGAAATGCACTGCGTACATCGAGCTTGGACAACTACACAGGCTGTGGGCATGACATGATGATGTTGATCGCGTTGTCAATCTCGCGTAGTGCAGAGAGAGCGGCTCGGCAGGAATGCTGTCGTTCGCGCCGGTGCCTTCCGGACTAGACAGATGGTGGATCATTCGCGGCTTGCCGTTCTTTTTGGGGATGGCACCAATACCAGAGCGCATGAACTGAAATGGAGGTGACGGAAATGGGCCTGTGGTCTCGCTGCGGGCGCAGGAAGCAGCTAATTGCTCGGGTATAAATGCCGAGTGAGTGAAAGCCAATGGTAGATTATTAGAGAAAACCGAAATGTCGTGTTGGCCGGCAGATCCAAGAGTAAAGCCACGGCGCAGGCCATGGGGAACATACGCAACACATGATTGATCTGAGTGGTTACGTAACAGGCGGGCAAAGTGGTCAGCTAGCAGTGTGGTGTCTGCAGAGTGTATAGGAAAGAAGCTACGTACCGAGTCAAGCGATTCAGTAGCCATTCTGCTAGGAGCGGCGGGGTGGCCAATTGGCTCCGCGCTGCCGCTGGTTGCACATGATGCATGGGTGGTCCTTGCCACACTGGCTGCAGGTATGGGAGAAGCGGCACGGCGACGAAGAACAGCGACCTCCATTGAAGTTGCGGCAGATTTCTTGGCCGTCGCTGGTATGGTTGCGACCACTGGAGGCAAATGCTGCTGGCTTCGGGACGAAAAGGACACAAACCGCCCCTGGATGGACCGTCTTACATTGAGCGCATTTTGGGTGTGCATGGCCTGTGACAGCTATCTGCCATAGGTTCACGTCGATGGTGTCCAACCTCTTCGTGCCTGGTTACTGGGCCACGAGCATCCGCAGCTGGCGGTCGTACTCTAGCCACGCGCTTGGGAGGAACTGGCAGTTAGCAGTCAGGATCAACTGCTGGTACGCAATCAGTTCAGCAGTGCGGTGTAGGGCAGCAGCCGTGATAACAGACATGTATGTGGTCCATGCCTCGAGCCGGGTAGCTACATGTGTAATTATCATGAACCTTGCGACGCACCTGCTTCGCGTCATCCGACTCAACGATATTTAGCTGGCTATCGTTATTCGGGCTGTGCACCAGCCGGAATGTTGGGCCGGAAGTGTGCAAGAATTTCAGGCAACAAACTTGAAAAATCTACGAACTCCCCTCGCAAGATACGTTCTTGCACAGCCTTGGGCACAGCTGGTGCAGGTGGCTGATCGGGTGGGTTACAGGAGCTTGGCCTGGCGTAGTGGCGGCAGCTGCCGCATTGCCTTGGCCTTGGGTGAGGAGCGGCGCCGAGAGTGAATGCTCTCCGATAATAATAAAATGGCGGCCGACAAAGCCGACTACACCTCGTCCCGTACGGGAGCGCAGAGATCCGTTGAGCCCGCGTCACCTGAGCTGGCGGAGGAGGCATTGGTGCACGTCGGGCTTCTGGGCTCGCGAGCCGTGTCCGCACTGTCATGTTGCTGGTTCTCCTGGCCGGAGCAGACCTCACTACCAAGGGCTAGTTGTGCCAGCAAACGGTCCTGTCAAATACTTTTACTAAGTTTCCTTTCGGATTCAAGCCGCGCTGAGAAGGCTCGCCGCGGAGGGCTTGGCAAGGCATTGCCTTGACAGTGTCGACAGTAAGGTCAGACATACTGAAGAAATACAGTGTCGAGGTGACACTCGGGCTGGCAGCAAAGCTACGAAAGGAAAAGAAACACTGCTGAAGCACGATCCGTTGTCTGGAAGAGCACAACAGGGCAAGCAAGATTTGTTTTTCTTTTCCGCAAAAATGGGCTGGTGCCATTTGTGATTACGCAGCAAAACAAAGCGCATGACGTCAGTCTTGAATGCAGTACAAAGCAATGCAGTGCAGTGTGTGCGCTAGTTCGGATTGTTGCTAACAAGTACTAGCACAGCTAGTACACCAATAATGCAGCTTGCCATATCTGTCACTGTCGGTTCACAGAGAACAGTGCGGAACACGATACGGACCAAGTAGTTGCTGTTGAAAACTAAGCCAAGGTGCTGGAGCCTGCAATGCAGATTGATATTAAAATTGAGTTCACCCCCCCCCCCCCTCCCCTTCCCTCCATCTCACACATACAACCACCAGCTGACTGCAAAGCCATTTACTCGTCATTCATGCACTTGCCTACCCTACCCCCCCCCCCCCTCCAGCACTCCAATACTCCCTCAACTATTCACTATCAAGTTATGTCTCTATCATTCCACTCACCTGCTTGACCGGGATCAACATAACCGATGAATGCCGTAGTTTGCATATTCAAAGCAGCTGGTGCTTGCCAGGACGCTGACTGCATTGTGCTCTGGCCATTCACCTCTCCCACCGTCAACTCAAGTTCTGTAGCGGTCACCTTGATTCCCACATTGTAGAATTTTCCCGTGCAGACGGGCAGAGGGTGTGTCACTGTGCTTGCATCGGTCGAGCCAGCAGTCAGGAAAGCCAAATGGACCTGCGACGTAGCACAGGTGTAAAGTTCCAAACAAACACAGTGAGATAATTTACGCCAGACTAGGTGAGTGTGCAGTGCTATAACTGCATGGCATCACAACACCCAAGATTTGCCAACTAAGGCCACATTCAGTGTGACCCGCAATGTATATTCTAAGCTTCACAGGCTGGGTGCACACTGGCATGTCATTCACTATGGTCGACCATGATTGTTATCGTCTAGAAACGTGCAAAGATTTAGTGTACAGCGGAAGGAGTTTCATAAATTTAGCAAGGCTGAGTGACCTCCATACTGGCACAGCAGCACGCATGCACAGCAGCACACACACACACACACACACACACACACACTACCCAATGTGCTCCTCGCAACAGTCACACTACCACTATAGTCATGTATGTGTACACAACCCATCAAGATTACATGCTGCTAACTGCCCATGCATACGAGATGCGACGTTGACTGCACGCACGGTGCACTTGTATGCACAGTCAAGTACACTACAGTACAGGAATGAAGTAAGTTGTGAGGTAGATGTCTGTGCCATTGCACACTCCGGAGTAAGTTGTGACGTAGATTTCTGTGCCATTGCACACTCCGGAGTAAGTTGTGACGTAGATTTCTGTGCCATTGCACACTCCGGAGTAAGTTGTGACGTAGATTTCTGTGCCATTGCACACTCCGGAGTAAGTTGTGACGTAGATTTCTGTGCCATTGCACACTCCGGAGTAAGTTGTGACGTAGATTTCTGTGCCATTGCACACTCCGGAGTAAGTTGTGACGTAGATGTCTGTGCCACTGCACACTCCGGAGTAAGTTGTGACGTAGATTTCTGTGCCATTGCACACTCCGGAGTAAGTTGTGACGTAGATGTCTGTGCCACTGCACACTCCGGAGTAAGTTGTGACGTAGATTTCTGTGCCACTGCACACTCCGGAGTAAGTTGTGACGTAGATTTCTGTGCCACTGCACACTCCGGAGTAAGTTGTGACGTAGATGTCTGTGCCATTGCACACTCCGGAGTAAGTTGTGACGTAGATTTCTGTGCCACTGCACACTCCGGAGTAAGTTGTGACGTAGATTTCTGTGCCACTGCACACTCCGGAGTAAGTTGTGACGTAGATGTCTGTGCCATTGCACACTCCGGAGTAAGTTGTGACGTAGATTTCTGTGCCACTGCACACTCCGGAGTAAGTTGTGACGTAGATGTCTGTGCCATTGCACACTCCGGAGTAAGTTGTGACGTAGATTTCTGTGCCACTGCACACTCCGGAGTAAGCTGTGACGTAGATGTCTGTGCCATTGCACACTCTGGAGTAAGTTGTGACGTAGATGTCTGTGCCATTGCACACTCCGGAGTAAGTTGTGACGTAGATTTCTGTGCCACTGCACACTCCGGAGTAAGCTGTGACGTAGATGTCTGTGCCATTGCACACTCCGGAGTAAGCTGTGACGTAGATTTCTGTGCCATTACACACTCCGGAGTAAGTTGTGACGTAGATTTTTGTGCCATTGCACACTCCGGAGTAAGCTGTGACGTAGATTTCTGTGCCATTACACACTCCGGAGTAAGTTGTGACGTAGATTTCTGTGCCATTGCACACTCCGGAGTAAGTTGAGTACGCACAGTCACACAAGTAGTGATTGATTTCTTTGTCAGTGCTAGCACATTGCCAATGCGGCTATCTCATGCATTCTATATTTACCTGTCCATCAACCAGGCTCAACAGTAGGTGTGCACCTGTGACGGCGTGCCAGGAAAATAGCGCACCGAATCCCTGTCGAGTAGACAACTCCAAATGGACATTCAACTCGGACGAAACATTGTATCCGCTCAGACCTAGTTCATGCCCAGAACCACACCAAGTGACACAGGTACAGACACAGAGACAGATGCACACACGCGCACGCACACATGCATGCATGCACGCACGCATGCACACACGTGCACACACACACACACACACACACACACACACACACACACACACACACACACACACACACACACACACACACTGATCAGTTTTACTGTTCAGAAGCAATAAGAAAACAGTTGCTTGATTTAAATTCTTATCAGTTCTAGTCAATCTGAGATTTCGCAAGACCAACTATGGTCTCTCATTTACTTACTCGCTTACTCACCCAGTCACCCAGTCACTCACTCACTTGCTCACTCACTCACTCACTCACTCACTCACTCGCTTTCTCTCGTTCTCCATAATGATACTTCTGTACCTATCCCTACGTTTTCCATGTGTTGTCACTCAGGTACTTTTGGCACAGAAACGGTCAATGAATTCAATGCTCTATGGTGCCTCACAAGTCTAGGAGGTAAAACCATGAAATGCGCTGTTGAAAGCTAAGGCTATTGTTCTTTGCCATGCTCTGGCCCAGATACAGAGTAACCACACCACACACTGTATACAGCAAACCTGTGGCTGTCGGATCCTGTACCAATCAGAATCCTGTATCGACCGGACATGTTTTCACGCACCAAAGTGCTGTGGATCGAACGTGCATCCCTGGATCAAGCGGAATCCTGTCATATCGGGACAGTTTTCCGCTGCACTAAGGGCGTCATCCGCTCAGGGCAGGGTTTACTGTACTTCACTGCAATACATGCTGTAGCTAGGCTTAGCACACTGACCATGCAATTGAGTGTATGCAAGCACTCCCGGCTCCATGGGGTAGCCATGCGCTGGTCGCTCCACATTGGCCATGTTCTCATAGCACCCATCAATTACATTCGTCTTGGACACAAGCCTGGCACCATCAAGGACAAAACACAGAGAGAAATCTATCATTGATACACATCACACGGCAATGGGGACAAATCAGAAGCGATCCAGGCTGCTTCCTCCAATTTTGTCTAATTTTATCTTTCAATTAGTTTACAAGGACATACACAAAATAAAACAAACAAACGGAAACTTCCACATGTAGCCACACACGCACACACATGCACGTGCACACATGCACGCACACACGCATGTGCACACATACACACACACACACACACACACACACACACACACACACACACACACACACCATACTGACCAACCACCACAATCTCAATCCCTTGACAAGACATGCAGAATACCTGGATTTCTCTCAAAATCCCTGGATGGCACAAAAACAAGTGAAAAAGAGCTTTTCTCGCCCAAAAAACGTTCGACTCTGCAGATCTGCAGATCTGCGTACAGCACGGTTCGACCCTGTAGTGCAGTTTGATCAGTCGGCGCCCGCCTGTCACTTTGTCAGTGCAGATCTTGCAAGCTAGGCATGGCCAGGTCTTGAAAGTGCTGTATGTAGATGGGCAACACTACAACAATGCAAGTCTGGAGGTAGCCATTGCAGGCTTCGTCTTCAAGCTCTGCGAGTTCTCTACTGCAAGCATGCACGCATGCGCACACTATACATATGTACATGATTACATCACTACATCTCCCCTTTCAAATAAAAAAAAAGAAGAAGAAGAAGAAATCAAAATAGAGGAACAAAGTGAAGAAGGAAAAGCCAATTAATTAAAGAGAAAAAACAAAAAGAAGAAAAGGAAAAAACCGAAGCGAATGCGCATGCCATGCGCCAGTCATTAAAAACTGCAAATCACTGAGAAAAACAAAACAAAACACAACCACGCTACATACTACCGACAAGCGGCTGTGAACGAGGAAGAAAACAAAACAAAAAAATGTTCAGCACAAAAAAAACGGTAAAATGGTCTCTACGTGTCCATGGACACACTGTCCCGCAGCAGCAGCAGCAGTCATCCATAAGCCGCTCTGGCCTTCTCTGTAAGGGTTACCTGACGGCCAGAACGGGTTTTCATGCCATCATGAAATCGCTTGGGAGACTCACTGGCTGGTGAGCTGGTCTGATCCCTGCAGACATCGCTAGGAGAAACTGGACGAGGCGAAGAACACGCGGGTGAGGCGTCAGCAAGTGCAGAACGGGTGAGAGGGGCCTCAGCTTCCGTTGACGCTGGCACCAATGGCTCACTACCTGTCGCCGATTGTGGTGCGGCCGGGCTAGTCGGAACCGGAACACTAACAGGAGGCGTGGACAGCGGTGACTTGGGTACGGAGGCAACAAACTCAGGCCAATCAGACGATGCAGCAGCAGGTGAGACCAATTCTCTGACATGTTGGCGGTTACGAAGCAGAATCCGGACACCGTCGGTTACTCCCACTTGCCTCCCGTACTGCTCCACCACGGTCCACGGCTTGGCTGGATCATTGTATCCGTCATGGAGGATCACCCGCTTGCCCGCCTGCAGATGTGGCAAGGCCTTCACTCCACGACGAGCGTCATGATCACGTGCCATTGTGGCCTTGGCTCTCAGCTGGATGCTGGGGTTGACAATGCGAGGAGGGATCATGGTAGGAACTCTGCTACGCAATGGGCGAGAGAACAGAGCCTCGTTTGGAGAGGTTCCCAACATGCGGTGTCGGGAATGTCGGACGTCGAACAGAACCTGGTTCAGTCGTCGACGGAAAGGTAAATGAGGCTTCAGTGCCACCATTCTTTCCTTGACGAGACGATGGAGTCGTTCCACCATGCCATTGGAACGTGGATAACGTGGGCTGGAGCGGATGTGACGAATGCCCAGCCGCTGCAAGAAGGTGGTCATCTGCTCCGACACAAACTGTGGCCCGTTATCCGAAACCAGTACAGACGGTAGACCGAATAGGGCAAACACTTCATCTAGCTCGTCCACGATAGCTGTAGTGGTTGTAGAGGACAGAACCTTGAGGATAGGGTACCGGGAGCCATAATCAATGAGGGAGAGAACAGAGTGGCCCTCAATAGATACCAGGTCGATTGCCAGTTTCTCCCACACGCCTTCAATCTCAGTGGGGAGAAGATCTTGCGGACTGTTTGTGCGACGTCGCCAACACTCGGAGCAACGTTCCACATACAGACTAGCGTCCTTGGTGAGCCCTGGCCACCAAACCCTCTGCCGGAGGGAATCTTGAAAGGCTTCCTGGCCCGGGTGTCCCTCATGCACTAATGCCATGACGGAATGGCGTAGCCCTTCTGGTATCACAACACGTGCCGACAATAGCAACACACCGTCAGCTGCAGTGAGTTGATCTCTGACGAGATAGTACGGCTGCTCAGCGGGCGAGGCATCGCGCCAGGATGAGGTGAGCACACGCTGCAGGACACTGTGGAGCGTTGCGTCGTCTTGAGTGGCACGGCGGATCTCCTCAAGGTTGACTGGTGCTGCCTCAAGAACCATGTTGACGTACTCATTCAATGACCGGGACTCAGCTGGAGACGAGACAGTGGTCTTCAGCGGAGCACGAGACAAGGCGTCAACGCACAACAGTTGCTTTCCTGGGATGTGCTTGAGTGAGTACGAATACGGCATCAGAGAGACTAGCCAACGCTGGAGACGTGGTGGGACGTCATCGAACGGCTTCTGAACTATATGGAGCAGTGGTCTGTGATCCGTGAAGACGTCCACATCCCGGCCCAGAACGTACTGGCGGAAACGAGTTAGAGCGAATACCACACCCAACATTTCACGCTCCATCTGCGAATAGCGTGTCTCCACATCAGTCAACGATCGGCTGGCACAAGTGACTGGCACCCACTGGCCCTTGTCGTCGTGCTGCCAGAGGATAGCGCCCAAACCTTGAGGCGAAGCATCGCAGCTGACAGCCGTACGAACATCTGGAGATGGGCGGAAGTACGCCAATGTCTGCAGGGATGAAGCGACTGCCTGCTTTACTGCGTTGAATGCCGCAATCAGGCTCTCAGTAGCTACAAATGGCTCTGGCTGCTTGACGATCGAACGAAGTGGCTCAGTTACTTGAGACAGCTGAGGAACAAACTTGCCCAGATAGGTGACCATCCCGAGAAAACGCTGAACGTCGGCGAGGCACGTGGGCTCCGACAGTTCACTGATAGCTTGAAGCTTGCATGTGTCGGGTTGAACACCTTGCTTCGTCAGGACATGGCCGAGATACTTGACACATGTCAGTCGAGTGCGACACTTGCCCCAGTTGAGGCAGAGATTAGCAGCTTTGAGTCGTTCCAAAACGCTAGCGAGCCGTGCATCGTGTTCCGCCCGGTTGCGACCATACACCAAGACGTCATCTATATAGACAACAACACCAGGCAAACCCGAAAGGAGATCAGTTACAACACGCTGAAATATCTCGGGAGCACAGGATATGCCAAATGGCAGTCGTTTGAAACGATAGAGACCACAGTGTGTGGTAAACGTGGTAAGCGGTCGGGATTGGTCGTCAAGCAAGAGCTGGTGAAAACCAGACTCTGCGTCCAAAACCGAGAAAACCTCCGCTCCCGCAAGCTCCGCAGTAATCTCATCAATGGTTGGCAATGAACGTCGCTCTCTAACAATAGACTTGTTCAACTGCCGATAGTCAACACATAAACGCAAGGTGCCGTTTGACTTACGGACTGGGACGATCGGCGATACCCATCCAGACGCTTCCTTAACTGGCTCGATGATATCTGCCTTGACAAGACGATGCAGTTCATGTTCAATGTCGGCCTTGGCGCTGAATGGGGGACGTCGAGCTGGTTGAGCCACCGGCCTAGCTTCAGCATCCACGGAGATGGAAATTGGTGCGGTGTCAACCAAATTGCCAGTGTCCACCAGGTGCGCTGGAACCAACAGCTCAAGTTCAGAGATCACATCCTGGCCGAACAGAATACGATGTTTCCCATGGGGTACAACAAAACAACTACAAGACATGGTACGCGTAGGAGATGCAATGGTTACATCAGCCATGCCTAAAGTTGCAATCTCCCCGCCTGTGTACGCCTTGAGGACACGATTACTGCTGCGGGTAGGCTGGACAATGTCATCGGTGAGAATAGTACGGCTTGCACCGGTATCCAGCAAACCTTCACACTCCTTGCCATCCACCAATAGCGATGCGAGGAACTGGCGGTGTGACCCGGTCTGCTCAGCCATGTACACGGTGTCATAAACCAAATGAGCCTGGTCGGCTAGGTCGGCGGGCTCCTCGTCGACGGCGTTAGCATCTAATCCAGAGCGTTGCGACTGACATACGGCCGCAAAATGTCCGACCTTGCTACAACTGCGACAGCGGATGTTGGCTGCAGGGCAAAACGACTTTCCCTTAGCATGTGTACGGCCACAGTACTTGCAAGAACCAGATACTGTACGTGGCTGTCTGCGTTGCTGTCTGGTCGCACTAACGGCAGCCACTGAGCTGAACTGATTGGCAGGCTCTGCCGGCGGATCATACAGCTTACTCTCCGCATAGGAGGTCTCCAGTGCCACTGCTTTGGTGATGGCATCTGCGAGGGTGAGTCTGGACTCCTTGAGCAACTCGCGACGAACTTCGGGGGATTTCAAACCTGCAACCAACTGGTCTCGCACCTGGGAGTTAACCACGCTGTCCACATCCGTCGCCCCGAACTTACATAAGTCCACTCTCTCTCGTAAACGGCCAACGAAGGTGGAGACGGATTCCTCCGGCCCTTGTTTGAGCTGCCGGAATTTGTGACGTTCTGACGTCGTATTGATGGTGGGACGGAAGTGCGCCAGAACGGCGTCCGTCAGTGCTACGTACTCGTCTCCAGGAGAACCATCATCATTTGCTGGCGGAGAAGGAATAACCAGACCCTTCACAACTTTACGAACTGAGAGTCCGGCCAAATTCAAAAATAAACGCTTTTTGTCAGCAGCAGTAGAAACATTACAAATTGCTAAGTAGTCATTGACATCCTCGAGCCAAAGCTCAAAATCGGCCCCGATGTCGCCGGCGTAATCGGGTACAAAATCCTTGGGCACTCTGCCCTTCGTTGTCATCTTGACCTGTTCACTGCGCCAATGTAGATGGGCAACACTACAACAATGCAAGTCTGGAGGTAGCCATTGCAGGCTTCGTCTTCAAGCTCTGCGAGTTCTCTACTGCAAGCATGCACGCATGCGCACACTATACATATGTACATGATTACATCACTACACTGTGCACAGTTTGAAGTGCGAGTGAGCACCGTACATACCTTTGAAAATAGTTTAAAAAACCGGGACATTCGGGGAGAAACCATGGAGTTTTCAGGAAAATCCTGTATCAGACAAAACTGTGGTTTTTCCGGGAGTTTGCTTAAAATCCCCGGGACCCCGGGAGGAGTGTTGATTTTCCGGGATTTCCCCGGGAAAAACGGGAGGGTTGGCCAGTATGACACACACACACCTCAGACCTCAGACATGCCCATCGCGGAAGCGATGATAGCGAACAGCTATGTTAGACATAGCAACTTGTGCTGGGATTACACCATTCAACAGCTTGCAAGGCTGATGAATTGACCGCCACTATTTTTAACCTGGTATCCACCACATAGCTGTTTGAAGTGACTTTTTCTGGCCAGTGAATCCCTATTTTTCATTTTTCCATTTTTTTACACACACCACACCACATACTCCGGCATACACTGGCTGACACACACACACACGCACGCGCGCACACGTGCCCACACGCATGTACACACACACACACACACATACACACACACACACACACACACACACACACACACACACACACACACACATGAAAATGAATGTCTATGCAGACTGTACTGTGAATCCATCTTGCACTGCATGTGCTGCCGTGCGGCCTCACCTTTCAGGCGTTAGGAAATTGTCCCCGTTGTTCATTACGAATGTGATATCGTCCAGCGATCCAACAAACTTTCGCAAGCCACTTCCCTGAGTAGCGTTGGAAACACAAGAACCATTACAGTATCACAACCAGTCTCCCTTTTCCATTCTCTCAACAAATGGACACCATTTTCTATTGTAGGACTAGACTGTACAGTTTGCTAAGCTACACGTCATTTTAATAAAGAACTGATACCTTTACGAAAGGTGAATAAGAATAGCGTACAACTCCGCTGTAGCGGCCCGTCATGATCACAGTAACTTCCAATTCACACAAGTCCTTGGCTACACAAAAAAACCTCCAGTCTTTCCAAAAGGTGCATAGAGGAAACACATGGGTAGGGTACATCTCCACTCGGCAAAATGGAAGTTTCCGGAGGAGGAAGGAGGAAACTGTAGTTATCACCAACCCTCACCGCGCCCAGCTCACGCCGCTACGGCGTGCGACCTGAGCTGGGCGCCCTGCCCAGTATGGAACTGTCCTCAAGCCAGTCACGTATTTGGCAGCCCAGTGAGCTGTCTACCGGATCGCAGCGTTTAGAAGCGCCAAATGCGGCAGGGCCAGTCTCAGGCTGGTCGCGTAGGCGGCAGGCCGGCGGGCGACCGGCAAGGCTGCATTCGCATTTGGATCACCGAAGTGATACGGGTGCTTCGACGGCACTCCGTGGCGCATCAAGGAGGCATCTGGGGCCCAGGCAGCCCGCCCGTAAGCGCACCACCGTATCAGGTATGCGCAGGTGGAGCAGCAGAGCAAGATGTGTGCCGGACACTCACCATCATCCGGTCGACTGCATGGTTGTGCGACTTTACACAGCCGTCACTCATTACTTGCTATTGCTTGCAGAAGGCCAGAATTTTTTTTTCTTTTTTCGCTCTTTGCCTTCTTCCAGGCACGGCTTCATGTTAGAGCAGTAAATTGCAGTTAGGGACTCAGCTGAGTCAAGCTGGACTCAGCGTGTCAAGTTTGGCATAATACAATAAGCGCGCTATCCCCAAACAGTTGTGTGGTTATTGTGTGAGTGTATATGCAGGAGTCCGCGGTCACGTGAGGGGGGAGTGATAATGTACACTTAGCACCGCTCGTGGCAACTACCTCAGGGTTCTAGCCAGGTCAAAATCAGAGTAGCGGGGGGGGGCTTGGGAAACAGTTACCCCATATCCCATCTTTCCACTTTCCAATATTGTCTTGCCACGCTAAATGTATGGGGCGAATCCCCGATTTCGCCCCGAACAAATGTGCCTTTATGAACCATCTAATAGTGACGTTCGACTGCATTTTCGTTGAATCACATGAAAAACATGAAATCGGAAAATGAGTAGGGGGGGGGGGACACAGGGGGTCGCAAACAGAGCAGGGGGGGGGGGGAGAGATGCTGCGCTCCTTACCCCCCTTTGGCTAGAACCCTGTATCTTGGCAAAGTACATCTAGCACCATTGGTGGTAAGTAGCTTGGCATACACGGGACCTAACATTAGGCACCACTTACGGCCAGGCGGTTCTCCACTGGATTCTCAGGAAGGGAGCCAAAGTAGACCTGACCGTCTAGTGGCAGAGTGCTCCTCCGCGTCTCTCCATTCTCTGAAACTGCATTCTCTGTCGTGCGATCGGCTTCGACACGGTACACTGATCCACGTCGCTCAATCCGAGCCTTAACAAATCAAAGAGCAACCACCAACAATGTTACCAATGATCCATTGCCTATTTCAAAGTGACAGCATTTGCCAAGAACATGTCCAATGTGGCCTACCTTCATCTATGGAGCGGCATTCTACATCATACTACATCATAACACAATAGTTGACCTATCCCATTGGCTGGACTCGGATGGAGAGCCAAGGATAAATTTATAGAAAAGAAAAAGGACCAAGGAACTACAAGTTCTGCTATATTGTCCAATAACACCACCAGCTACTAAACAATCAGCTTATGCGATAACATTGCACGACACTTAGAACTTAAGGAACGTCAGTACCGTCGGTCAGTGTCGTGCAATGTTATCGCATGAGCTGATTGTTTAGTAGCTGGTGGTGTTATTGGACATTATAGCGTAACTTGTAGTTCCTTGGTCCTTTTTTCCTTTCTAAAAAATTATCCCATTGGCCACCGTATAACACACACACACACACACACACACACACACACACACACACACACACACACACACACACACACACACACACACACACATTTTGGAACAAAGATAGGACCGCTTAAGGTCCGTTTGATGGTATAGACTTTGCATGCTGTGTCTAGTGCATGCCTGAGAACTCAAGCTTGAGATAGTGTATCCATCATGATGGTGGGTACTTTATCCCAGCAGGCACAGCGTAGTCATTGGTGTATACATTTGTAGAGTGAATGTAGCACCAATGCAATATTTACCGTATGCCATTGGCCATCCGTATAGCTAACACCTGCTGGTGGAGTGATGATCGATTCGTCCAAATCCACTGAGCCACTGGAATCGATGTGGAAGTGCAGTCGCCCATTGAGAATGGACAGGCTGAAGAAGCGGTAGCCATTCGCACTCGAGGCATAGAGGAGCACAGTGTTGTCCAGGCGTGTTCGGAACCTGAATGTGATGTCCATGCTGCAGTGCATGCCGGCCACACATATTACACAGTAGTCAAAATATCTCATCAGTATCCGCTTGGATGCTTTCCGCAGCTTCATATCAGAACTTTTCATATGTTGGGCAGACAGCTACAACTCAAATTCGACTTGGAATTCACCCTAAACATCAAAAATCTTATCAGTCTTATGTATACCAGTACATGTATTCTGCATGGAGATAGCCAAGTACCGGAATATGTACACATACTGTAGCTAGAGCAGCTGTACTGGCATCAAAAAAAGGTGACACCCAGCCAGCAAAAAAAATTAAAAAATCAACTTCACTCACCCAGTTCTCAGAAGTGAGCGGGAATTGATGTCGTAGGAATAGAGACTGGACGGGGAGAAGCCCAAACAGTCGCTGTCATACTCTGCTGTGACGGCGGGACAATTCGGTGGCGGTGTGGTCGGAGGACCAGCGGTAGCCACTGGCAGTGGTGCAGGAATGCGGCGAAGGATATCTCGAACTTTACATGACGTATAGGAAACCAAACTGTTCTTCTGGAAGGCATCAGCAAAGTTGAAGATCCTGGAAGGGGAAACAGAGCCAAGTTTGGGATAACTTAAAGACTGTACAGTACCATACTCTTAAGCAGTGTGACTCTTCTCCGAAAACAAGGGATGAAACAATTGCTAACATACAGCCAGACACGAAGCACTGCTTTATATGCTCACCTGTCATTGATGGTGAGATCGCAGACACAGCCCTTCAGGGAGAACTGGGGTGAGATTCTAACACGGCTTCCGATGCTTCTTGGGATTCCGCCTATAGCCAGGAAGGAGTTGACTGAATTCATCCAGTTGCGCCTGAGGCCGGTCAACCTGGTTCCAATAACTTGCTGGTGATCAACCAATATGTTCAAACTGTGGAAAAACAAGTAGAAGACAGGTCAGGTGGTCAGACCCAGTGACAGGTCAGGTGGTCAGACCCAGTGCAAACACATACAGTACTCAGACCCAGTGCAAACACATACAGTACTCAGACCCAGTGCAAACACATACAGTACTACCTACAACAGAGTAGTCCTACACTGATCTATGAGAGACAACACCTTTCTATCAACGAAGAGAACAAACGGGACAATATATTTGTGTAAGTAATTGTCCTCTCAATCTCCAGACAGCTAGCTAGCTGTGTCAACGTCCTAATAATAGCCTATTGACGATACCATTCCTGTTCCCTCAGAGTTTTACCTTTCTCGGCAGTTCATTCACACTGGTGAAGGACTGAAGGTCTATAGTCAAGCTTGCTAACATTGTTTTCTTCATCACTAGGCAGTGCAAAAAGGAGCCATCACACACTGCCGGTGGGAAACCATGGCACACTGCCGGTGGGAAACCATGGAAACCATGGCCTTGCTATTACTACTTATGTGTAACAAGTGTTGAACACACTCACAGGGAATACTCTCCATTGCCATCGGTATAGATATCATGTGTTAGCAGGACCTGATGCAGTTCATCGTCATCAAACCTGGCCGTGCTTGATGCACGGAACCGATCAATGCCGCCAGCGTCAAGTCCACTCATCTCCACAATCAGCTGCCCCGACGCCAGGGAGAGATGGAGGAATGTGTCAATTTGACCCTGCGGACAAGAAGACCAGTGATAGAATCAATGTGACAATGATATTCAGTCACACAAGTTGTAGTAGTAGAGTTTCCTGATTTACTTAGAGGGCCGTGACCAGGGGGCAAGACTGCATTACAATAGCCCCTGGGTCAGGTTACGGCAATAGCCCCTGGGTCAGGTTACGGCAATAGCCCCTGGGTCAGGTTACGGCAATAGCCCCTGGGTCAGGTTACGGACAAAGTTGCCAGGAGACTGTACTTTTAAATGACTGTCAAAAAGAAAGAAAAAAAGCATTTGACTGATCCGCCAGCAGGAAGAAACTGAGTGCCATGCTGCCATAAAGAGCTAAACAATATTCAGAAGGTGAAATAGACCATACAAGTCACGGATATGAGTACACATATAGAATACCACCGAATACCACAGAAACACATACATGGAATACCACAGAAACACATACTGTACAAGCAGAAATATTCGTCTGGAATTTAATTTCGTCTTTTTCGTCCAATGAGCTGTTGGACTAAATTAGATGCCGGACTAATATTGATTTGTCCAGCTTTTCAATACACTCTTATGATCCATGGACGAAACTTAAAACCGGACGAACTCCCTTTTTTTGGAGTTGGACGAAATTATTGACCGACGAAATTTTCTGCTTATACAGTACATGGAATACCATAGAAACACATACATGGAATACCATAGAAACACATACATGGAATACCATAGAAACACATACATGGAATACCACAGAAATAAAAAGAGAAAACCAGGAATAGAAGTCAAATAACACGTGATCAGGCTGTTGATAGGAAATAGCGTAACCGTGACCCTGTGACAAGCTGGCATACCCCATGGAGTGACAACTACCCTATCAATGAGCCATCTGCCACGAACTTACACTGCTAATTCGCTGCCCATCTTGAGTTGCAAAGAGCAGTACAACATCCCTCTGATTCGTCTTGACGTTGAACGCAATCCGCACTCGTGACGTAAAGTAACTGCAGTGAATATGTGATCCATTGTGGAGAATGATTATGAGATACACCCGTGCACATTTTTCTGCTAGCATTCAGCAGAGATAGATGTATTGGAAGGAATACAGAAGTCAAGCACACCAGTAATCTCGGTATATACAGTGAGTCTTGTCCTTTTTTGTTGTCAGAATTCTACTTTGGTACAAACAAGTAAGTCTGGTGTGTTTGGCACTTACTGCAGAAACCCTGGCCTTTCTCCAATCTGCCGGAACAGAAGGAATGCAGTTGTCTGAGCTCCACCTGCGGTCAGAAACTCCCCATCAAGTTGAGCACAGGGACGGAACGCCTGTGTATTCTGAAAAGGAAGATGTAGTGCAGAAGACGGTTGGACATTGAGTGCGAGCCACTCAACAACAGAGCAATTTGATTTCCAGCTACTAGTGCTGCAAACAAACACATAATTCAGGAATGCAATACCAGGAAGTGTACTATTGCATCGATTAGGGATCACCTACCTTTGCACATCTGTCGAACGAAACGCCGGAGTAGATACGGTCGACTGGGTTTACGGCTAGATTCAATGGGCCTGCGTTGACTACTGGGTCAGACAGACAGCCCTTAAACCCACCAATTCCATGTCCAGATCTAAAGGTAAATACAGCAACAGCAACAGCAGCAGAAGCAGCAACAGGAGTTGAAGAAGCAGCAACAACAGTAGCAGTGGCAACAGCAACAGCAGCAACAGCAACAGCGGAATTCAAAGCAAGAGAGAGAGGAGAGAGAGGGGAGATAGATAGTTGAGTCCTACTTTTCCCCAAGGAAATGATAGGAACTAATAATACCTGTGCCACATGATCTCAAGATATGCACAGCTGCACCACACTTCAAGATATGCACAGCTGCACCACACTTCAAGATATGCACAGCTGCACCACACTTCAAGATATGCACAGCTGCACCACACTTCAAGATATGCACAGCTGCACCACACTTCAAGATATGCACAGCTGCACCACACTTCAAGATATGCACAGCTGCACCACACTTCAAGATATGCACAGCTGCACCACACTTCAAGATATGCACGGCTGCACCACACTTCAAGATATGCACAGCTGCACCACACTTCAAGATATGCACAGCTGCACCACACTTCAAGATATGCACAGCTGCTGCACCACACTTCAAGATATGCACAGCTGCTGCACCACACTTCAGGATATGCACAGCTGCTGCACCACACTTCAAGATATGCACAGCTGCTGCACCACACTTCAAGATATGCACAGCTGCTGCACCACACTTCAAGATATGCACAGCTGCTGCACCACACTTCAAGATATGCACAGCTGCTGCACCACACTTCAAGATATGCACAGCTGCTGCACCACACTTCAAGATATGCACAGCTGCTGCACCACACTTCAAGATATGCACAGCTGCTGCACCACACTTCAAGATATGCACAGCTGCTGCACCACACTTCAAGATATGCACAGCTGCTGCACCACACTTCAAGATATGCACAGCTGCTGCACCACACTTCAAGATATGCACAGCTGCTGCACCACACTTCAAGATATGCACAGCTGCTGCACCACACTTCAAGATATGCACAGCTGCTGCACCACACTTCAAGATATGCACAGCTGCTGCACCACACTTCAAGATATGCACAGCTGCTGCACCACACTTCAAGATATGCACAGCTGCTGCACCACACTTCAAGATATGCACAGCTGCTGCACCACACTTCAAGATATGCACAGCTGCTGCACCACACTTCAAGATATGCACAGCTGCTGCACCACACTTCAAGATATGCACAGCTGCTGCACCACACTTCAAGATATGCACAGCTGCACAACACTTCAAGATATGCACAGCTGCACCACACTTCAAGATATGCACAGCTGCTGCACCACACTTCAAGATATGCACAGCTGCTGCACCACACTTCTGGCAGTAAATATACAGCAGAGGGTGAACCATGCTAGAGTACACAAGAGAGTCCACATCCCTGGCCCTAGTCCCAGATTTCTGGGCGTACAAGTCGAACTTGAGCATGATTTGCTGTCCCAGCTTCACGATGGCAATGAAGTCCACATTAATTAGGCGACGAAAGCACTTTCGAGGACTATCGCTACTCTAAATTGATGACCACATTGCCAAAGCACAACTTCATAATAATAATATAGTGTGCTAGTATACGGAATACTGACGATTTACTCGCCTAGCTACAATATACCCACTGTTCTGCAGTGCATAACAAATCTCCTGTTTTCCACTGTGAAAACAATCTTGCTGGACAACCGTGTCAAGGAAATGTCAGGACCAAACATGCCACCGTCAGCTTATGTTTCTAGTAGGGGCACCAATGTTCCTACATGGTACAAGTAGGCACCTGTTTACATGGACACGTTAACAATGACAACCATAGAGCACTGGTACCGTATAATCCCGCCAGAGCGCCCCTACCTCCTCGACGCTTCGAGTAGGTTCAGGTGGGGAGGGGCGGATGGGCGAGTCCTACTTGCCGCATTCAGTTCTACATGAAAAAGTATTAACCCTACGAAAACTGTTCGTGCATCTCGTACACCGATCAAAGGTCAAGAGCCAGGAGTCGTACAGACCCATCAAAACTCAGGGTTTGTGCGATCCCTGATCAAGAGGGTGGGCTTTGTTGCGTAAATTTCCAATGGGGTGGAGCACGCGTCAGCAGTACAGTACGGCATCACAGAGTCATACGAGGATGCAATCAATCACTTCCCAGACAAGAAGTCAGGAAGGGGCGGATGAGAGAGACGGGGCACTCTGGCGGGATTTTACGGTTCATTACAACTCTTTTTTTTGTTTCAAAGCAATGCCAACAAGTTCAAGCTACTTCGAATTAGAAGCATTTTCGATCACATATCAGCTCCGTGTAAATGAGAGAAACACATGGGACCATGTTCACACCATAAATGCTATCACAGCTAAGCCACTCGGCAAGCCTGCACTGCGAATACTTTCTTTTGTACATGCAACACTCGAAAATAGATTGAAAATAACTTCCAAACATCTCCCACCACTTCTGAGTGACAGGGTCCTTCATCGACATACAACATGAATTATGATTGTGTTCCTTCTCACCTGCAATAGTCAGGTGCACCTAACGGCAGTCCTCCAAGATAGAAACTCCGAGGTGTGTCCACCCCACCCCTGTAGATATTGGTGACAGGAAATTCTGCTCCTTGTGAAATCTGGAAAACCACCAGCGGTAGGCCGTTTTGAGGGTTTATCTGCTGACGGAGCTGCAGTACGTAGCGAACATTGTCTGAGAAGTGCAGCTTGACATTGGTGTCACGGTTGACCCGGGAAATAGTCTGCAACCAAACAACTTCTCTATCCTTCACGACGTGAAAGTTCAGCTGACCGTTCTCCAAGAAGATCACAATACTGTCATTGCTCTGCAGAATTTTTATACAGACGCGTGTTGACGGTACACATACCAATGCACACAGACACACATGTACGTGACCCCATGCACACACACACACATATATACATGCAGAAACACATGCACACACACACACATATATACATGCAGAAACACATGCACACACACACACGCCCGCATATACAGTACCCACACGTATGCATGCCCGCACATACCCGCACATACGCACACACAGAAAGCCCATTGCTGAAATAATTTTCACGGTCAAGTTCTCGAACATAGTTTTCTGCTTTGGTGGAAGTATTGTGACTACAATACAGACAGATATGATGAAGTGCTACATCATCATCATCATCATCATCATCATGAGAAAAGCCTCTTTTACGGGCAAAGCAAATGTATATCATTACAATATGTAAAGTGAACAGGGGAAATCAACACAAAACCAACCGGAAAATGATGAAACACAAAAGCAGTCAAGGAAGTAAATCAATACAAAAACAAGCAATGAACACAGAGTAATAAAAGGGGAAAAACCAAATGGCATTATATTAAGTTGAGGCCAAAGGCAGCACCCTACTCCGCCTGGCGGCACTGGGCCAGAAATGAGTTCGGCTGTCGCCTCTTGCCGTACGAACCGCGGCAACCGCGGAAGCAGGTGACTGCCCATCGCAGCAAGCAGAAAGACAAACGGGTGCGTAGTATGCCCATTACTAGTGGGTACTTCAGTTCAGTATGGCGCTCAACAAACAGGGAGGCCAATGATTTCAGGAATTGAGTAGTTTCTGGGCCACTAAAGCCGTACGTCGAGAACACAAGTGGCGTGAAGGAGCCGCGCTCCACGTTAACCACACGGCTGGCGTATTGATTTTTCTTGTTTCGCTCGTGAGACTTCAGCTGACTCAGGGCTTGTGATCGAGACAACACAGACGCTGCGGGATGAGTGATCCGCACATCAAAGTAAGCGTCCTGTTGCCACGACCAAAAGCCGCGAGCCCGCACATCCAGACGAGCTTCTGCGCATCGGTTGAGGGAACGACCACCAGGCAAATGCTCACTGCTGCAGGGCAATAGCCGGGGCTCCGTCTCTACGTCCACCACTCCAGCCTCCCTCAGTAGTCCAGCAACCAAGTCCCGCACCTCATTGTGACGGGCAATGGTAAAACCGCCAGTGGCACAGGTAAGTGCATGAGCGGGGCTGAGAGGCACACCACAAACACATGAATCGGGTAGCCCACTCAACCTTCGCCCATAGCGGATGCACAGGGCATCACGGAAGTCGGATTTCTTCAGGATGGTTCCATCTTGCCACCGCGGGGCAACAGTCAACCATGACGATACTCCCTTTTCGGACGCGATTTCAACAAGAAATTGTTGCTCCGAGCTCAAGTCCGCCTTAATGTCTTGTTGCCGGCTGCATAGGCTCCGCATTTTGCTTGTCCGAGTCGAGCGTGCCAGCTGGCGGGTGTCCCCAACAGCATCGCGGACGGGATCATGATTGGAGAGCCTCACTCGGTCGGCAACCTCCTGGGTTGTATCACCGGAGCCCTCTGACTGGGCAGTATCCGACAAATCGCTCCTTGCCATATCACCAGGCACGCTTGGAGGGTTCGCATATGTGCCAGTCAACAGTAGCTGAACAAGAGGCTTTGTGATGCTCAAGGATGCTGCGAGCTCTGCTGGTGCACTATCCTGCAACAGAGGGAGGGCCAAACCACCAAGACGCACTGGAAATGACATCAGCTCTCTCTCAGGGCTACCAGGACGAACGCCATCCCCCAGAAGGGCAGGTATCAGGCAATCATTGATCCTCTCATCAAGCTCGGCCAGTATCTCAGCCGAACAAGGTGAGCAACGCAAGTGGTATGTCCATGTGGATGACAGACCCTTCGTAAAAACGGTGTATGCGGCCTGAGGCTGAGTGACAGCCATCCCCGTCAGGGAATCCAGAACCTGCTTCCATTTATCCACCTTCTTGGCCATGAAGGCAGAGCAGAACTCCTCACTGCCAATCGCTCCGCCGAGGTGACGGTTGCCGCTGGTCTTGATGGTAACTCCAGTGGCGGAGAAGAGGCGCTGGGCCTCTTCCTCATGCTCCGGCTTGACCAGCAACACTGATTTCTGTGGGTTTGGAAAGTATCCATAGTCAGGGCCCAGTTGGCTTATGTCTCCCCAGTATGTGGACAATGAAGAAACGCGGCCACCTGCAGAATCGTCGTCCGCGTACCAAACCTGAGCCACAGATGGATTGGATTCCTGGAGGCGCCGAATCATCGGGACTGTAGCGATACCATACAGAGCCATGGCCAGCGGATCGCCCTGGCAAGTACCCTCCAGTGACTCAATCTCCCCGCCGCCGGAGACGAAGAGACGAATTGAAGAACTGTACGTGTTCTGGAACACCTTTGCCATAGCGGGGCATACATAGGGCACGTTATGGAGGGCCGCGTTTCTATTCAATGAATTGAACGCATTCGTAGCATCTACAAACAAGATGCCTTCCGTGTCCTCTCGTGCGAACAACTCCTGCATTGCATGAACCCCTGCCTCACAGGCAGACGGCACCCCAATGCACAATTGCATGGGAGCAGTAGCACGCAGTACATCGGACTCAAGCACCCGCATAACGGCACGACACACAAGCCGGCGGAACACTTCACCCACTGCAATCGGCCGCACACCTGGGTGTTTGTCCAATGGAATAAGTCTAGCGGCGGTAAATGCGGATAGGTGTTCCGGATCCAAGTCCTCCGAGCACAGGCATTGGGCAAAGCTGGCAAGAGCAGTACAGAGACCATCTGACGATTTGCGATAACAGGTTAGCATCCGGCACCACGCGTCAGAGTCCAGACCAGATGGGCCCGAGGACCCCTTCATCTGTCGGCCCAGACGTCGGATGAGCTCCGGTGTGATTTTCTGGAACACTATACTGTTGATTGGCTCCGGGTCGCCGGCGAGAAGTATCGAAACCGGGGGCTCGGCAGCAGGTGGATGTTTTTGCAACAGTGCCTCCTTCACGGTAGTTCCAGTTTCTTCGTCCACTACATCTGTCATACCCAGCACATCATTGGAAGAATCACTGGACAGGTAGCGAATGGCAGACTTAATTTTTCCCGAAAATACCAGGTTGCTGAATGTGATATCACTCTTCTCTCCTCCACCAGACGAGGTAGAGTACCGGGGCTTGAGACGATCCTGAAGGGACTCTCCTTCAGTAGTCAGATCATCTATTCGGCCAGATTTCCATAGAGTGAGTCGACGCCGTAAATGGTCGCTATAGTTTGACATCATCTTAGAATCATGCGGACGCTGGAGAAGCAGGTGGCAGGCAACACCGACGGCCTTCCATGCAACTGGTCGTAATGAGGAGCCATTGGTGAAACCCTTGATGAGCCCAGTGAGCACGTCAACAAAATCACCACCAGCCGAGCCCAATGGAACGTTGAATAAGTTTCTCCGCCAGGTCACCACCTTCTCATACGCTCGGGATATGTCGTTGCTGAGGGAGGTGTTCGAAGATAGGGAATCATCACTGCTCATAGTATTAACTCTGGCACCCGCAGGAGAGACCTGTGATGTAGAAGTCTGCCGAGCGACCGCGGCAGCCGGAGAAGCAGCAGCAGCAGGCTGGGCCGAGCCCTGCCCCACAGCAGCAGCTCCTGGCAACAGGGAGGGCGCAGGATCCACCCCGCTCCGCCCACCAATGCGATGAGCCGGCCGACCAACCGCGCCTCCGAAATCGCCGGCCGGTAATGACGAGGTGCCGGCATCACCGCTGTCTGCCGCTTGTCCAGAGGACTCAGGACCCGAAGCATCTAGGGTAGCCAGGAGCTCCACCTGAGAACCTGTGGGATGAATGTTGGATGTTGACGCTCCAGCCCGTGAGGTGCCAAGGCCATCACCTTGAATCTGAGAGGATGGATCAGTTATTACATCACTTGCAGGGGAAGAACCAGCGCGTGCATGATCTGCGCATACCAAGTTCCTCGGAAGTGTCGAATTTATATGCAGTGAATCACTGTCACTGTCGCTAGCTTGCGATCTATCTCCAGCGCAATCAACACCGCGAGGTGCAAACCCAACCGCAAGTGGCTGGCTGGCAGGGTGCGCGTTGACAGTTCGAGTGACATTGCTAGCACCAGAAGGCTGTGAGGCAGATAACGAATTGTTGCACGTGCTAGGTAGCGACCTTCCTGGGATCATCATCATCATCATCATCATCATCATCATCATCATCATCATGCCGCTTTTACGGGCAACAATATTATGAATATAAAACGCAAGGTATTGTAAGAGCAATTTTCTGAAAATAATGTTAAAACACGAAATATAAAAATGCATTATCACACCGTAGCCACTTTTATGGGCAAATTCCAATACAAGGCAATAAGAAAACGAGGATGAAGTTAACCTTTTAACCCAAAGAAAAGACAAAAGATGTCAACAATAAAACTACAAATATAAAAAACAAACATCAGGTCATAAAAACTACTTTAAAACATAACCAAATGACAGCAAAGCGTGGAGAATGAGATTGACTTACAAAACAAAAGTAGTCCTACTATGCTTACAAAACAGAATCTACCTACACCACTAAGGAAGAAACATTAAATGATTGCAGTCTCACAAACACCGGCCTCTATCTAACGACCCATCAAACAATAACTCCTGAAATTCTTGACTGACTTTTTCTGGTAGGAGCTACGGCAGCCACGAAAACAGGTCACTGCCCAACGGAGTAAAGTGAACGAGAGCAGGCACCGCAATCGACCCATAACCAGCGAGTAGGCCAAGTCACTGTGTTTATCGACATACTGGGCTGCAAGACACTTGAGAAAGCGGTCTGCCTCCCGGCCACACATGCCATTCGTGGCGAAAACCAACGGGGTGAACGTGCCTCGGTCTATATTCACAACACGCGCTCCGTATTCCCGCTTTTTCATGCCTTCATGCTTTTGGAGATGGCGCTGGACTTCTGGACGCGACAGCAGGTTTGGCTTTGGGTGAGTC